ATTAACAAATCAATTTTGTAGATTATCACCTAGTTTTAGCAATATTTGTATTAGAATAACTACAGCGGTCAAAAAAAGTGTTCCTCATCAACTAAATCCTTGGAAAATGTTATAATGGAAACTGAACAAGACAATAATATTTTAAACAAATAATTCAATCTTCAGCTTATGGCATCTGTTTTTCCGTTTTTATTGTTTTGGAAATAAGAATTTTTAAATAAAATAACATAAACGAAATTCTTTTGCGAAACATCAAAAAACAAAGCAAAAAAAGTGTTCGTCATTCGTGGAAAATTTGGTTTTGTAAAAAAATTATTATTTTCTTTTATTGCCAAAAAATGGAGCAAAATTGCTTTAAATAATTCAGCAAGTGAACTTTTTATTTGAGCTTGGACTGACCATCAACATAAGGTTGAGCCATAGTAGGAGATTTAACATCAGAATCGGCTAACCGTAGAGCAGTCGCAAAGGAACTACTACAGTGTGTCGCCATCAGCTGTTCAGAAGGAACTGCATATGACTGAAGGCTTTCTTTTTCTTTCCGCTTTGCAAGCTTAGCCCGCGCTCAGTTATAAGTTTTATTATTAGTTTACACATAAGTTGCTGCTAGAGGACAGAACTTAGACATTCAGATGGCTAGTAGTTCATACAGCCTACATCTTATATTAACTATTAATATGCAGAGAATGTAGATTTTTAAATTCTAATTCCCAACGTCACAGTTTCCACTTACAGTAGTGTTAAAAAGTTGTATTATAAATGAAAAGCCACCTCTTGAAGGGCCTTTCCTATTATCGAAATTTTGTAAAATAAAATTGTGGTATGCTTGCTTTTGGAGGTCTGTGACGTCACAACGGATCAAATGGGAACATCAAAGAAAAGTCAATCTCCTTAATCTAACCTTTACTCTGCCAAGCGATTGCTTAAGATCGCTTGCCTATTTTGTTTGCACAATTCTTTAGAATATATTGATTTAAGCAAAAGCAACTTTTTATTCGTTTATAAGAAATTTCGTTATTTTTCCTTACGATTTTTTATTAGTAGAGCTCAAAAAATTATTCTTGAAATATTTTATACTTCATCATATTTAAAAAAAAAAAAACAAAAAATAACATCAAAAAGATATGATATAATTATATATAATAAGTAAATAACGGAGACTTGTATATATGCTTTAGTAGTTTATAGCAAAATTATAGGATAAGTAGAACACGTATCCGCCGACAAATATTTAAATATTTGTAAATACATTTACATAAGTAAATATATTTGTATACACCTACTCGTATAAATGAAATAATCACAAAATAAGGTAGTGCTCAGTTTAGGTGGCCCCGAATATTATATATCCCATTCAGTGGGTGATTGGAGACTTTTGTCAAACAGGTACTACTCGAACATCAAAACCGACTTACCACCCGAATTTGGTGTGATCCACGTAGAGGTAATTCCTTCGATAAACTTTTTTTGACAGATCTTGCGTGCACCGTGTCTTTTTGTTCAGTATTATTTGGCATGACCCTTCATATAGCTATGTATGTATAATCTTTTTGGCATTTAATAACCACTGTAGCTGTTTTCGGCCGAGTTCCTTTTTCAATTTGTGACGTGTGCGTTGTTGTCTTTTCAGTGAATAGAGGGATATAAAATTTTTAATAAACCGATGCTTTCAAACTGCGGAAGTGTTTTTAAGGGAAGTATTTTTTTTGTCTCTCAGGGGGACAACCGTAATTAGAAATATTAATTTTTTGAAATCATGATTCGGACTATCACCTTACACATGACAGTACACACTTCTACTGATGCTACGGATTAAAGGTTTGAGAATTGAGTATCTCAAAATTACCTAGAGCTACATAACCTCCGATCACACGGACAGAAATGCGAGGGGAGACTGATAGGCTCGCGATCTAAGTTAGTTAGAGATGGCTCATTATATCGTTCCTGTTAATACTAATTGCGGGACTCATTATTTGTATAAATACCATAACTCATAAGATCCAAAAACATTTCGTAGCTGGGACAAGCTACATCACTATGTCGACGAAAACTGGAAACTCCTGCAATTTGTTGCACCGCGTTGTGACTAAACTTTTTGTAAAGAAGGAAGAACGTTGAAAAAAGTTGTTAAAGAAATTTTATCGGTTGTACAGAACTCTACTCCTTCACATACGATGGTGAAAAGCGGGCTCGGTTGTTTCAACAAAGAAGAGAGACCTGTGAATAAGACCCCGCCCGAGACGCTTATTGACAGTTGTGCCCTAAGAAAATGTTTAGAAAGTCGAAAGATGATGCTGAGAGTAGAAAGATTACAAATTTGCAAAGAACGAGCTGTTGAGATTTTTCTTGAACAATTAAACACGAAAAAAATTAATGCACGCTGGGTATCACAAATGCTTACGCCGTTCGACAAGCAGCGACGATTGGAAAGTTGTAAAGATTTTTTTGGAGTTGTGCCAAAATGATGTTGATAAAACTATCAATGGCATTGCCGCAGCTTATGAAACTTGAATTCATCAGTATGATCTCGAGTCCAAACAGGAGNGCGCGTAGTCGAAAAAACCTATGGGATATATTAGAGAAATAAAACGCTAATTCACTAAAAAATTTTTTTGCTACATTTTTTAGATATAATATCATTATGTTTAGGATCAAAAAAGACGAAAACAAGTAACTTGAAATCAGAAAAAGGCAATAATATGATATATCGCGCGGGCGATAGGACGTCGAATGGGCAAACAGGGCCCAACTTATAAAAGTGATTTTATTAAGTTCATTCAGGAAGAGTGGAACAAAATACCTGAAAATAATGAATTAAACAACCTTATTTAGACTATATCACGTCGTCTTCGAGCTGCTATGAATGCAAATGACCATCAGACTATATATTAATAACAACACTGCTATATTCTCTTAGTTTTAAGACCTTAGATTTAATATAGCCCCATAAAAAATAGTCTGTTGGCGTTCAATCGCACGATCTAGGCGCCCAATCGATCGGGCCCGAACGTGAAATTAAATGTTCACCGAACTCGCCTCTCAATAAGTCCATTGCTACGCGTGCTGTGTGGCATGTGGCACCATCTTGTTGAAACCTCAAGTCAAGCAAGTCAAACTCTTGCATTTGGGGCAAAAAAAAAAAACGTTTAATACCATCTCACGGTAGCGCTTACCATTCACGGTTACGTTATGATTCGCATCATCTTTGAATAAGTAGGGTCCAATGATGCCACCAGCCCATAAAACGGCACCAAACTGTGACTTTTTCTGGATGCATTGCTGCCCCTTGCAATGCTTCTGGCTGATTTCACTCTAAAATCGACATTTCGGCTCATTTACGCACGCATTAAGCCACAATTTTTTTTTATTTTTTTTATTTTTATTTTAATTTTTTTTTTTTACAGAGCACGCATTTTGATAATAAAATTGAATAATTTGCAAGCATTTTTCGTTTGTAAGGCGATTCATGGTTATATCATAGACCAAACTGAAGATGTTTGACGGTGATACAAAACACAAAACGTGCGTCAGCTGTCTAAACCAGTGTTGCCAAAAAAATCACCCTGTTTTGTTGTCTTTTGAATTTGTACGTCTCTTTTACTTTTACGTCTTGAATTATGGAATTTTTGTGCATTATTTATGTAAAGAATACTCAGACTAATAATATTTAAAAAAGTAAATATTGTCTTGGTTATTAAAAATCAAGTTGAAAAATTAATTTGTTTGATTTTTTTTTCATTTTGCAAACAAATAATTGGCACAGTGTATGCATGCACATGGCAAAATCAACTCTTTGTTGTTTTGTTTTTAAGTGTGCTTAAGGTATAACAAACTTACTATCTTAACTTTTTTGGTTTTATATACAACTGTTAAAGTTAGTTTGACAAATCTTACACACTGTATATATGTACATAGTACAGTCGGCCATTCGCTTTTCTCTGGGCAATTTTGCTCTCATTAAGAAAAAAAATACACAAAATTCTCTGATCAAAATTTTGTGTGTGCTTTCAATGCCTGTTTGTATACACATGCGTTGTATATGTATGATATATGTATGCACATACATATGTTGTATGTATATTTTTACTCCGTTGGCCACTTGTCGCACAATTACGTTCGTATTGTCTTTGGCTTGACGGCCAATTTCTGTTGGAGCCTGAGACTGAGAAATTTCGTTTTTGTTTACGCTGCTGACTTTTGCATGCATATACTCGTAGATACTCGACTATGCAACTTGTGCTGTATTAAAGCCAACTAGCGGACATACATACATACATACATACATATTGTATATATACAACATATGGCAGCAGCAATGAAGCGGCAACATTTATGCCAATTACTTATGAGCATAGCAGAGAAAAATACTCTTTTTTGGCCTTTGCTTTTACTCAGAGAGCGTACATATTTACATTAGACACTGCTGTACGGCGGAGTGTAAACAAAATTCTGTGCACGTGTATGTGTGTGTGCGTGCATGCGTGCAAATTATTTAGGGGTTGCTAACTGTTTTGCTCTTACGACTTTGCTTTCGACTTGTTCTGTTGATTCTCTTTTAGTTTATTTTTTTCTTTTAACCATTTTCTCTTCTTCTTCTTCTTCTTTGGTTTGATAAACGATTTTTCTCCTTAACCGTCATTCATGTTTCCAACAGCCGCTGGCTTGTGTTGTATAAAAAAATAAAAATATAATAACAAAAAACAGCAGCAACGGCAAGTGCAGAGTGTCAGCAGCCACTTGCCACCAATTTCGCCGACAACTGTCTGCTGCCTCATCGCTTATTTGTTATGCGTCCATCGTCACCGCTGTCCGTCCATTCGTCCGCACCCACCTGCCTATCCTTCTGGCGTCCAACCCTCCAACTGTGGTTGAATGTCTGCTCAGCTGTTATGCGGCAGCGACGCCAGCAGCAGCAGTGGAACCAGCAGCCAAGAAACCTCGCGCGCTGAGTTGTGTTTCGTTTTGGCCAACTGTTGTGCGCGCTCCTTTTGCCGTGTTGTGCTTCCGCTGTCGCTTATGCTCCGACAGCAGGCCAACAGGCAGCCAGCCATCTCGTCAAGTGGATTTCATTTCAGTTTCATTTCAAACGTCGTGCGGTGTTGAAGTGTGTTACGGCGCGTCTCTTCCGCTACTTCGAATTGAATTTCATTTTGAAAACTCTCATACACAAACACACACACACTAGCGTGTATTCTCAAAAGCAAAAAAAAAAAAACTTTTGAGCAGCATTTTCATTTTGATAACAACGAAATTGTGTAGCGGCATACAACAGCCGGAAAGCGTTGCGGTCAAAAGGAAGCGGGTAACAACAATAAAAAAGTAAATTACATCCACATGCAAAGAAATAAAAAAGTTTCAAAACCAAAATAGAAAATTAAATATTAGCAGCTGTAGAAATAAATTTTGATTTTTACGAATTTCTGTATTTCATGCGACAAAAAGTGAGCAAAGTAATGCGGAAATTTTGAAAAATTTTGGTCAACCCACACACACGCTCGTTTCATTTGGTAAAGGCGCACATAATGTAGTAAAAAATGTGTTTTAGTTTTTCGTAAAAGATTCTTGTGCAAAATACGAAAACCGAGGAAAATATTGAGGCCAAAGTTAATTTAAGAATAACCAAATGAATTGTGCGGAAAAGAGCAGTGAAACCAAAAGTGACATAATTTGTAAGAAAAAAAACGACAAAAATAAAATACGGTATAATAAATCGAGCGATATAAAGTGTTTCACAACATTCATGGGTGTATATGTATTAGGAATGAAAGTTTTCGTGGAAAATATGTAAAATATTAAGAGCCAAAGACTCAATTAAAGGAATTTAAAAATAAATATTTGCATACATATAAAATAGAATAAAATTAAAACAAGCTACGCTGGTAAAAATATAAAATATTTTTAGTGAAAATACCATTTGGTCAAAGGATTTGGAATGAAATGATTTCATATTTCAACTTAAACAAATAAATACCAAACAAATTTACTTTATACACATATGTATGTGAATATATGAGTTATAATAATATTTTTTCTTGAATTTTTAAATATTGCCTGGGCAACTATAAATTTCTAAATCTACTTGTTACATAATTTCTTAATTATAAGCTCGCTCGCTAAATTCCATGTCAGCTGATTTGGAAATAAATTTAATAATCCTATAAAATACAACATTTTAAATGTGGTTACGCTCAAAAATGAAAAATGAAACATATAAAAAAAACACGAACTTAATTTAAATCAACAAAAATAAAATTGAATTAAAAAAAATTGTATAAAATAAAATTGATAGAATATTAATACAATGAAATAAAAAATATATTAAAAAATTAAATAAAACGAAATGAAATAAAATAGACTAAAACAAAATAAGATAAAATAAAATAAAATAAGAGCAAATGAAGTCAAATAGAATACAAAAAAAAAAATAAATTAAAGAGAAATAAGCTATAAACAAAATAACGCAAATAAAATCAAATAGTATCAATTTAAAGGAAAAAACACTTGATATAAAAAAAATAAAGTACAACAATATGAAGTAAAAGAGACTAAAATAAAGTAAAATATATAAAATAAAAAACAAAATGAAATTTAAAAAAAAAAAATATAAAATAATATAACATAAAACACAAGAAATAAAATAAAAATAAATTAAACTAAATTAAACTTAATGAATTAAATTATATATAACAAAATAAAAAAATTAGAGAACAAGANTCATTGATATAAAATCAAAATAATAAAAAATAAAAAAGTGTAATTAAAAATATTAAATTAATTTAAACAAAATTTAAAAAAATTAAATTTAATATAATTTATAATAAATAAAATTACTTAAAATAACACGAAAAAAAAACGCAAAAACCAACTAAAATATTTTTGTGTACAATTCATTGATATAAAATCAAATAAAACTATTTGAAAAGTTAAATATAATAAATAAATTAGTATAAAATGAAATAAAAGAAAAATATAATGTTATCAAAATAAAATAAAATCTAATATGAAATACATACAAAATTTTTTTTAAATTTGTTTAACGATTTTAGTTCATAGGAAATTTTGTACTGCTTTTTAAATAAGAATAAAAATAAAATTATTGAAATCTTTTAGATGTGTATATGAGTACAGTGCTGAAAATAATAAAATAAAATGAAATAAAAAAATATGATTAATTGAAATTAAATTTAGTTAAATGCTGAAATCCTTACCCTAACTGTGACTGTAGGCGCTCGCAATAGCCGAGTAGTTAGCAGTTTGTGCTGTAAGAAGGTCTGGTTTGAGTGCAGAATCGATTTACGCATAAAATAAGATATCAACCTCTCCGACTATATTGGTCTGGCATAAATTGAATGCTCATCATAAAAATTAAAAACTGGAGGAGAAGCTTGACCGGTGGTCACATAAAACTTTGATCGTAATAATGCTGCGATTTCATTTAAAAATAAGCAATCTTCCCTTATCATTATTTGAAAAGAACTGCATATACATATATCTGTAATGAGAATATTTAGTCGTCAAATAGAATAGCTCTAGAATGCCTTCAGATATTAATTCATATAAAAATACTGCAAGTACACTCGCATTTTCAAGTATTATGGCCGTAAAATTTATATGTGTGTATATATATCAAGGAACTTCAAAATCAGCATATTCAAGCTAATAACTTACCAAACGTTTACGCACACACACACACACATCTCAATTTGCGTGCATCAAAGAGTCAAGTCGAAAAAAGTACATTAAATTCAAAAGCATAAAAAACAGATTCACTCACATCTTAAAAGCAACACCTACACACAACAAAACTCAAGTGACCTCATGGCGAAATAACCAAATTGGCAGATACAAAACAAAAAGTAAAAAAGAAGAATTAGAAGCAAGCGGAAAATGTACGCTGCAAAAAAGAAAACAAAAAAATAAAAATCGACGACAAAAATTTCTTTGCTAAAAATAAATTATTTCGTTTATAGCGAAGAACTTTGCGTATTTAGATTATTTCATTTTTCTTTTCTTATTATTATTTAACATGATGATTTTCAGAACGGCAATCCTAAATGTATTTTGCTTGGGAATTTTTCTCAAAAATGTGTCATTCAGCTTTTTCATTTTCTTCGTTGTTTAGCGGATGCATATTTCATGTCAATAGTAATAGTTTTTTCGAAAATAAGGTTTAGTAAAAATAAATCCATTATTTTCCATAGATGGCGTTATTTATCTGTTCCACCCGTTGTATAAGTCGTTAGAAAGATTACAAATTACTAAAAACGCTCTTGTGCCAGTTCTATGATTGGTTTATTCAGTTTTGTTTGAACGTACGACGAAGAGGGACACTAGCAAAGAAAAATCACTGCCTCATTTACGCAAGAGCTATAGATTCCACAAAAAACCGTTTGGTACCTTTTGAATAAGGCTGGATACGAAAAGAAAAAATTTAATATTTTATTCCTCTGCGGCTTCCACTCTATAAAAACCACTCGAATATCGCGACTGCCAAATATGAAAAATATTTTTTTGTACAATGAGAAAAAATAATTATTAAACTACAATAAAAAAATCAACAAAATAATTAAATTAGGTTAAAAAGTTAGAAAAATAAAATAAGAAAAATAAAACATAATGAAATAAAAAAGTAGAATTTAAATAATGTGAAATAAAAAAAAACAATATCAAATGCAGTAAAATAAAAAAAATAGTAAAAAAATATAAAATAAACTTAATAAAAATAAAACAAAAATGTAAAATAAAAAATTAAAATAAAAAAATAAAGCTATATAAAATAAAATAAGTAAACAAAAACAAATTGAAATAAATTAAAATAAAATAATATAAAGAAAATAAAGTAAAATTATATGTTAGATTAAATAAAAAAAAATTAAATAAAATTCAATAAAATAAAAATAATATTTATATTATAAAACAAACCAAAATAAAATGAAATGAAATAAATTAAAATAAAATAAAACAAGGAAAAATAAATAAAATGAAATAATATACAGTATATTGAAAAAAATAATAATAAAATATTTAAATCAATAAAATAAAATAAAATATGGTATAATTAAAAAATAATATCATATATAAGGAAATAAATTAAAATAAATAGTATAAAAAAGATAAATAAAAAAGGGAAATTAAGTAGAATTGAATAAAATAAATAAAAATAAAAAATAATGGGAATAAAAGATATGTAGAAAAAGAAATAAAATAAAATATAGTAAAATTAAAAAAATAAAATAATAAAATATTTAAATAAATAAAATAAAATATGGTATAATTAAAAAATAAAACTATAAATAAGGAAATAAAATAAAAAAAATAATATAAAAAAGTTAAATAAAAAAAAGGAAATTAATTTTAATTAAATAAAATAAAATAAATAAAAATAAAAAATAATTGAATTAAAAAATAAGTAGAAAAAACAAAAAAAAATAAAATAAAATACAGTAAAATGAAAAAATAAACCAATACAAGAAAAATAAAACAATATTATAATAGGGAAAAATAAAATAAAATGATTAAATAAAAAAGAAAGCATAATTAAACATTGCTTGGCACATTTTAATTACCTTTAAATTCATTAGTTTTCCTATTTTTGTCAGTACCAAAAGATTAACGTGCATAAATTTCATTCAAGCGCATCAAAGGAAAAAAGTCAAGAATTAAAAAAGTACAAAAGGTGTAAAGTCAATCAACGAAGAAAAAATTACTTTAAATGTAAAATAAATGAATAACTGTGTATTCGATATACACTTCTCAATAGTCATATTTGTATATGTCACCGAAAATTTGTCTATAATACCACAGCTGTCAACTCTGGCTTACCACCAATGCATGGAATAAAGGAAAGAGTAGAACATATTTTTCATACAATTTAATTGCAATAACAACTCTTTGGCTTTATTCCTAAACTCCCACCCCAACACACCGTGCGCTGACTAACTGTCTGACTGCCTTCTTTGTTTGTGTGAGAGGGTGAGAGACTTTAATTTACGCTTCGCTGGTCACCGGAAATTCCTTTAATGACCAAACAATACCAACAAGGGCAAGCTAAAAAAATAAAGAATTGGTACATAAAAAATTGGTAAAACAAGTATTGCTTCCTACTATTCATGTTGCGTATTGCATACTCGTACATGCATACATACAAATGTTTGTTACATACTTATAAAGAAAGAAAAAAAAAAATAAATGAATTCAAATGCTTGTAAAGCTGTAAGGCACGTAACGGCCAAAATGTTTCATTCACGCTCAGAAGTTTAGGCTTTTTATGCTGTCACTAATACCATAGCGGTCTACAGTGGGTTTAATAAAAGTTGTAT